CACTTAATTGTGCTCTTGCAAAAATCTATACATAGATCAAGAAGCAACATATACATCAGGATTGTGTCCCTTCTCCAAACCTGTTCAGTCTGTATGCTGAGCAAATCATTCAAGAATCTGGACTATATGAAGAAGAATGCGGTATCAGGATTGATAGAAGAAAGAATCATCACCAATCTTTTATGCAGCTAATACTACCCTGCTTGCAGAAATTGAAGACTTCACTGCAGAAAATGGATGACTATAACTCTCAATATGGATTTCATCACAAATTCAAGACACAAAAAATTCCTCAGCACTGGCCCAGTAGACAACATCATGATTATTGTTCTTACGTGTCATCAAGTAGGAACTGACTCATAACTGATCCTCCAGTGGGTTTTCAGAGGTATATATTGCATGGGAGGAGATTAGCTATCTTTCTCTCATAACTTCACACAGGTGGATTCAGAGTGCCTGCCTTTGTGTTGGTAGTACAACTTCCTACCACTTGACCTTGATCACCAGGGATCCCTATGACATTATGATAGGTGGAGCAGAGATTGCATTTGTGGCATTAGAAGCAAACAGTAAACAGGACCAAAACATTCAAAAGCTGGACTTTACGAAGAAGAATGTGGCAGCAGGATCAGAGGAAGACTTGTCAACAGCCTATGTTACCCAGATGACATAACCTTGCTTGGTAAAAATGAGGAGGACTTGAAACTCTTGCTGCAGAAGATCAAGGACTACAGCCTTCAGTATGGATTGCATCTCAACGTCAAGAAAATAAAAAATGTCACCACAGGACCAATAGGCAACATCAGGATTGATGGAGAAAAGATAGACATTGTCAAATATTTTCTTTTACGTGCATCCACAATCAACAACCTTGGTATGAGCGGTCAGGAAATCAAAAGGCATGTTACATTGGGACAGTCTGCAGCCAGAAACTTCTCCAAAGTGCTGAAGAGCAAGGATGTCAGTTTAAAGACTAAGGTGCCTGATCCAAATCATACTGTTTTCAATGACTTTCCACATGTCTGAAATTTGAACAGTGAGTAAAGATGACAGAAGAATCAATATCTTTGAGTTGCGGTGCTGGAAAAGAGCCCTAAATATCCCATGGACTGCCAAAAGAACAAACAAAAATGTCTTGGAGAAAGTGAAACTAGCATACATCTTAGAGCGAAGGATAATAAAACTTTGTCTCAAAACCTTTGTGCATCTTGTTAGGAGGGGCTTGTTCTTGGAAAAGACAACATGCTTGGAAGACTAGATGGCCGGCTCAAGAGAGGAAGACCCTCGATGAAATGAATTGAGATAGTGACAACAGCAGTGAGCTCAAATGGTCAGAAATGAGAAGGATGGCACCAGCTAGGACAGGGTGCAGATATGAAGTTCATAGGGTCGCTCTGAGTTGTACTTGACCGGAAGGCACCTGCCATCCCGAAGACAAATTGTTCAAGGTCACCGGATGCTCTGTGGGGAGAAGGATGGGCAATCCCCACTCTTGCAATGAAAATCAGCTGTCAGTTCTAACTTTATGATACACAACAACGGACTGATATAATATTATAGACGCCAGTCCTGAGGAAAGCCCTCTTTGAAGGAAGCAATGATGATCTCTCTTGTGCTTCAGGCCATCAAAGTTTATTGTACCAGGCAGCCAGGTATTTCACCTAAGGTGAACCATGGTCAGAACCACCAAGAGCAACACTGCCCTCTGGTGTTTGATTACAGGAAATGGCAACCTTCAGCTGGTAGACCAGAAAGGAGCATCAAACTCTGTCTCTCCAGCCCTTCCCTACTCCCTCACCACTCAGACCCATTAGCTTGCAAGGAATACATGCTTATGCTTTCCCCTTCACTGTCTGTTTCCATCCAGAATTAAAGCCATTCCACTCTTGCTAATGTCTCGTGCACACACATATCAGCCTCATTTTCTTTCTCATATATTTACCTGGCTCTTAGAGCTGGGAAATACTGTGCTCTTTCTGTTTCTTACCTTCCCCCATTTACTCATCGTGTTAGCCAATGATCAGGACAGTTATCAGTGATTAGAACTGTGTGCTGGAGCCAAGTCTCCAGAACAGTCTTAAACTCCTCTCTATTTAACTTTACTTTAACTCAAGCATTAGGATTGAAGGCACATTCTAAAAACATTTTCCAAGTTCATCAGTTTTCTGTTCTGTAGGATGACAAATAATGCTTTCTTGAGCTTGAAATGATCTCTTTTTATTTACTCTTGCCGAAGGTGATTTAATTTTCTGTTTGTTTTTTTAAATTGATAGTATATAATCATTCCTATACATCAGGTTTTGGACATGTTGTTATATGCTGTTAAATCATTTGCAACTCATAGAGACCCTATGTACAACAGCTCTGAACCCTGCTCTATCTTGAGCCAACCTCAAGATAGCTAACCTGAAGGTATGTCTCTGACACCCCTACCTCCCATTACTGTAGACAATGAGTCAATCCATCTCATCCAGGATTTTCCTTTCCTGTGCTATCCCTCCATCCTTCCAAGCGTGATATCCCTCTCCAAGGACTGGTCCTTCCTTGCAACATACCCAAAGTAATTCAGACAGAGCTTCAAAATCTTTCCCTCTGAGGAGCAGCCTGATTTCACCCTCTCCAGGACAGATCTGTTCTCTTAGCAGTCCATGGCATAGTCTTTGTGTTTTATACAATCATCCATATTCATTATGTTTTATATAATGAATTACTGTTGCTCTATGCCTTGTATTGCCCCGAGCTCTGCATTCCCTTGTGTTTGAGATGACAGACAGTTTTACTTTGGCTCTGCTCCCAGCTGTCACGAGCCCCATAAACTCTGTAATGCACTTTCCATTTTCTTTGTATCCCCGAGTTAGTCGGGCTAAGGGAAGTTATAGTGTAGAAAATGTTCTGGCTCAGCCCAGTGTGTGTTTATTTTCCACTTACAGTGACATGTCAGAGGACGCTCCCCCATGTTTAGCTGTTCTATCCAGGAAGGTGGACAACACATCCCTACAGAAGGGAGGCCAGAGGTAGAGCAAGCATGCAGGGATTTCACTGCCTCACCCTCCACATGGTCCACATCATTTTAGTTGACCCTCCACTGCTCTGAAAGTCCAGAGAGTGCATGGGAAGAAGGTCCTGAGGGGGCGACACAGAGGGGCTGGGGCTGGGGGTGGTAGCCAGTATGAGAGATTATATCTACCATATTGACTTTTAGTCTGCCTTGAGTTTTGAATTCCATGTTTTGTTTTTATCTTACAAGATTATAATACCATATTTCTCCTTGCACACCAGTCTCTTTTTAAAAAAAACAAGTTGATTCCTTTTTATTTCTGTTCAAGTCCTTCCCGTGTTTTCAATAAAGCCTAACATCACTTTGACCCTAAGACCCTTAAAAATTCCCCTCTTTTTCCTCTGTTTTTCTCAAAAGTTTTACTTTATCCTTCATTGCTCTTTATTTCCAAAGGTCTTTGCTTTCTTTGTAGAAATCTAACTTACAAAGCATGGCAGAATCAACTTTTAAAAATCCCATTTCCATGCACATTCACGTTTATTACTGCTTTGTTCACAATAGGAAAGAGTTGGAAAGAACTCAAGTGCCCATCAGAAAATGAATGGATAGAGAAGTTGTGGTATATTCACTCACAATGGAATACTATGCAGCATTTAAAAACAAGGAACTCACTAAAATATTATGCAAACTGGATGACCTTGGAGGACATTATGCTGAGTGAAATATCTCAGTCACAAAAGGATAAATACCGCATGGTGCCACTGTTGTAAAAATGGGACTGTCATCAGGGTTGGGGGTGCC